TATACCTGAAGTGAATGATGCAGCCAAAGTATTTGATGAATTGCACACATAATCCTTGAGGTGAGAAGGTGTGTGTTTGACTCTATTGGGTCTGGTAGATGGTGGTGAGACACTAACATTATTATGAATGTCAAGAGTGGTTAGTGTATCAGCTGGTGTATCAACTGATGTATCAACAAATGTATCATCTGATGAAGGCTCATCTGATTGTGAGGGAGTTACATCAGGAATGTTTGTGATACAATCATCATGTGATGAAATGGTGTTCTCAAAAGATGAAATATCAGTGGATGGCTCAAGACTGACATTTTCATGAGTATGATACTGCCAATTTGGTTTAAGTGGAAAGATGTGATCATGATGTGTCACATGTCTAGATATAAAAGTTTCACGTGTGTTAATGTCAAGCAGCATAACACCTTTTACATTTTGCTTGTAACCCAAGAAAACACACTTCCTAGCCCTATGATCTAGTTTAGTACGATGTGCCTGCAGGGTAGATGCATATGCTAGGGTGCCAAAAGTTTTCAGATTTTCCAAATCAGGATCCCTATCAAACATACACTGATAAGGTGATTTGTGTTTTAAAATTCTAGTTGGTACACGATTCATAATGAAAACAGCATGATTAACAGCAAATGACCAAAATTTCTTGGGCAAATTAGATTGGAATAGAAGGGCACGAGCTATGTTAAGAATGTCTTGGTGTTTTCTTTCAACCCTCCCATTTTGTTGAGGAGTTTCAACACAACTTGTTTGGTGGATAATGCCCTTAGAATTATAGAATGTGGACATAGCAAATTCTGGTCCATTGTCACTTCTAATGCATTTGACATTTAAATGATATTGAGTTTCAATCATCTTAACAAAGTTTATGACATGTTGCCTGGTCTCTGCCTTAGATTTCATCAAAATGACCCAGGTAAACCTGCTAAAATCATCTACAGCAGTCAAAAAGTATGAATGACCATTGTGTGACTTAGTGGACAAGGGACCCCAAACATCAAAGTGCACTAAATCAAATAAATGAGAAGCATGATTGAAACTGTTATTAAAGGGTAATTTCTTGTGTTTAGCATAGTGACAAACATCACAAATGCTATTTTTGTCTACATCAATAAAAGGAAAAGAAGCATGCAGTTTTTCTAATCTAGTCGAGGACAAGTGTCCAAGTCTAAAATGCCATAAGGCACTGCTAGGAATGGTGACAGATACATTGTTTAGACTAGAAGAGATATCAAGTTTGGATGATAGAATTAGATGATACAATCCATCAATCTTTTCAGCTGAACCAATCATCTTCAGAGAGGAAATTTCCTAGATAAAACAATCAGAAGCACGAAAAATGACATTGTATTGATTAGTTTGACAAAGTTTGGGCACAAAAATAAGATTGACTGAAAATTCAGGGATATATAGAACATCAGGAATATGAAAAAAAACAGAGAATTTAACAACACCAATGAATTTGGCCAAGGCAAATTGACCATTTGGTAACTTAACATGTATAGGTTTTATAGAATTGACACTATGGAACCAAGCTCGATTAGAGCAGATATGATCACTGGCACCTGAGTCTATTATCCAAGAATGAACTGCAGCACACTTATAAACAGAAATTTGCTGATTACTTGGAATGTTGACAGATGTGTTACCTGTAACTGTAGACGAGTAAACTTGATTAAAGGTAGCAGTAGATGAACCTTGTAGAATGTTAGATTGTTGAAGGAGGTTCACAAGTGTGGCATATTGTTCTTGAGTTATGGGGAGCTGCCCATCTTGATTACGTGAAGCTGAAGCACGATCACCATTGTCATCTGGTTCTTCAGTTGTACTAGCATTATTTGCAGTTGAACCTTTGCCAAAATGAGGTGGAAACCCATGTTTCCTATAGCAAACTTCAACTGTGTGGCCAGTCCTACCACAATGTGTGCAAATCTTGGACTTTGAAGTATTAGATGCTGTATTTGAAGTACCACCTTTAGCACTGAACTTCTTGTATCCTACAGCATTGATCAAAGCTTGAGAATCCTCTGAAATAGCAAAATTGTCTTGGCGTTCATGTTGAAGCACCATAGAGAAGATCTTGTTCATGGAAGGGAGAGGATCCATGAGTAAAATTTGTGACTTAACAACTGCAAAATTCTCATTTAAGCCGGTAAGAAATCTTATAATATACAACAAATTGTGATGATTTCGAGCATCTCTCATGGCAGCACAAGAGCATCGAACACGACATGTGCACTATGGTAAAGGCATGTATATTTCCAATTCTTCCCAGAGAATTTTCAGCTCAGAATAAAATTCTGTTACAGATTTATTTTCTTGCTTTAAAGAGTAAATTTCTTGATAGAGTTCAGAAATACGAACCAAATCACCTTGTGAAAAGCGTTCTTTCAAATCGTTCCAAACATCCAGCGCATTCTCCATGTAAACGATTGACTGAGCTATCGATTCGGAAACTGAGTTGATAATCCATGAAATTATCAACATGTTGCAGCGGTTCCATGCGCGGGTTGAAGGATCGAATGAATCTTCAGGAATGGGAATTGAACCATCGATGAATTCAAGTTTCATCTTGGCGCCAAGAGCACGACGCATCGAGCGTGCCCAAGAATGATAGTTACCGCCGGTGAGAGGTGGCACAACCTTGACAGTTGTTGGGCCATCACTGGGGTGAACGAAATACGGACTTGTAGGATCGAGTTGAGGGTCAATGGGAGTGTTGTTGCGTGGTGGTGCCATTGACAAGAAAGAAGGAAAGAGAAAGAGTGATAAAGTGATGATCACGCAAGAAAGATTGTAAGAATCACGTAAGGAAAAAGAAGGTTGGATCGGAATGGCGTTGATACCATGTTAGAAACTATAAATCTCCATTAGAGGAGAAAGAAGAAAGAAAGAAAAACAAGTAGAGATGAAGCAAACCTGTATTATTCAGCTTAAACATGAAAAGGATACAACCAGTTCTATATATACACCACAAGTATAATGCAACTAACTCATCTTAACTGAATAACAGAAAAACTAGGGCAAATGTATAATTTCACATAAGCTATTTTGGATAGACACGAGCTCTAATTGATTTATTTTACAGAGACCATTGGCACGACGTTTATGTATCTTAATACAAAGAATAGAAGGGATTTATAGAGTTGCTTCATTTGGAAACCTGTTGATATTTCTTTGCACAAGAAGGTGATTCTCTTGAACAACTAGACAACTCACACAACACTATTTGTTTTTTTTGGTGGAGTGTTTTGAATATTTCTTTTTGAACTATAAATTTCTAGCATATATTGGTTTCATTTTGCCTGGATATTCTTTATGTCCTCTGAGGAAACTATCTCATGATTTACTTAATCTGTACAACATATCTTGTGTACTATTTTGAAGCAGATATCGAAATCTTATTGAAAGAGTCTTAGGAGCTAGACTTGTATATGGGAGCCCAAATATGAACCAGGCTGTTAGCTTTGAGTATATGAACCGACAATTAGTTTAGAACGAATTCTCGTTACTTCTTCTCTTCATCCATTTTTTTGTTCATCTTAAATTTGTTGAATCCTATGGCTAAAACATGGTACTTTTTACCTTTAAAATTTCTTATCACCTATGTTTTATGTACAATAAGCTCTTTTTATATATTGAGCACAAACTGTGACATGCATTGTTTTCCATCTTCTGAGAATGCTCGGAAATCAATTATTCAAACCTTTCAATTTTCAATGAATTTGAGATTCCTTCTATTGTCGACGTGTGTTATTGTCTGTGTGACAATTTATGAATTAAATTGCTAAATCCCAACTTGACACATTCATTTTATAAACAGTCTGATACTAAAAGAGCTTGCACATTCTCAGAGGTGCTATTAGTTGTATTGGGTATTTTATGCCAATAGGAACATCTATTGGCATAAATTTCTGGTATTTTATGCCAATAAATTTCTAGCATATATTGGTTTCATTTTGCCTGGATATTCATCATAAATAATGAATCTTAACATTATTTATGATATGCTGAACATGATTCAGATGTTATTCAGGTGTTTCACATGACCTTCCTGGGAATAATGTATCCTCCAGAATTTAAATTTCTTGGTGACTTTTCCGTTGGATTAGCAACAGAAGTTGAACAGAATTCTTAATACACTGTAGTAGAGAATGGCCACTGCAAAAACAGATGTTGAAGATCTCATAGCAAGATTGAATCAAGAAATGGCTACAAGACAATATCTTGCGACGAAGGAATCAATACATGTTTAAGATTCTCATTTGCCTCTTGCTTTTAATTTTTTCCAGTAAATATAGTTGAGATAAATCTGCATGAGCTATATGGTGTTTTTTCTTAGCAAAATATGAGTCTTTAGTTCTTCATACCTCAAATTATTGCCATATGTTTAATTATGTGCCTGAAATGTTCACATTCAACAAATTGCCATAAAAAAGTTAAAGTTAATAATTCTAAATACTTTGTAGTCTCTATGATGTATCATACAAATACTCATTCATAGCGGGACTGTAGATAAAATCCTCAAACTGCCATTTAGTGCCTAAATATAGTTTTGAAAACGTTCAAATATTTTTTTCGAGAATAGGATAAATGTAGATTGTAATCACAACTTGTATCAAACTTTTGTAACGTGAGTTAAATTCTTCTCTATTCTATTAGTCTAATAAATATATTTTAAGCATTTCTAGATTATTGTGTTCATTTAACTGTCCATACTTAATATATTTTCCCTCATGTTTGGTCACTTAGAATTCTTTCCTTGAGAAAGGTTCTTCTACCCTTTATTCCCATGTATGACTCATACATATAAAAATGTAGCTTCTTTTATCAACCTTTTCTCTCAGATTTTTTATAAATATGGGAAATATTTATAAATGTGAATTGCATCATGCGAATATGTTGTCTTGATACCTGCACATTTTTGTGCTTGTGATACATCAACTCGATAATCCATTTCATTTTGGCTTATAGCCTGGTATGAGAAAAGGCAAATGAGGAAAATCTATTCACCACTTCTGGAAGGACTATTGGCTCTCTACTCGGTTTCGAGTGGATCCAAGTAATGATTTCATCTTTGAAAAATTTTCATTATCTTTTGTCTATGATTTCTAAGCAACTAAACTAATTTGTGTTACTTGACAGAAAAATAATATTCTTTCTCCCATTATCACACATGGAATTTACTTTACTGTTATATTGAGACATGACCTTTGAAAGATACATGATCCGAAATTTTTTGATTTGTGTCTCTTTACGCCAATTCACTTGTCTCTTTATGCCATTTTTTCTTTTAAGCATGTATGTCTCCTTAATCGACAGGCCACTTACAACAGCTGAATTGAGAAAGAAATTGATGAGCAAGAGATTCTCTCCTAATGCACTAGAGAAAGTGATAAACAAGTTTCAAAGACAGTATGTAACTAACTTCATATAAAAACTGTTTGGCGGTTTATCAGCCATTTCCAAGCATATCATTATTTGAAGTTCTAATTGCTTTTCCTAAATTCTCTTTTCGTCATGTTCCATTCAATTGAACTAAGTGAGAATGTGTACTTTACGTGATTCTTGGCCTTGAAAATTAGATGTTTACAATATCAGATACAAATGGCAAACCTTCTCTTCATTTGATAAATAATCACATTGTGTTGTACTTTTCATCGTGCACTTTTTCAAGTTTATATTTAAAATCTGAATTTTCTGAATCTTAATATATCTTGTGGGTTTTTGGTGACCATTTTACCCCCTTTGTTCATCAATGATAAGTTATATGCTGAATTGTTTTCTCAATCTAGATGATTTTCGTCTACTTGGGGTCCAAGATGGATCAAACAAGTAAACCACTGTATTCCGTCCGTATGTTCATCCTCTTATTAGTTTTATAGAAAATCAAAAGTGAAAATATTTTGTGTTAGTATTTTGATTTCACTGCGCTTTGATGAAAATGTATTCCTTTTAACTTATGTAGTATATAGTAGTATTAAGAGCTCTGTAGTACCGACACAACACCGACACATGTGATTACTTTCAGTCTTTTATTTTGTACCGTGTCCATATCTATGCCGGTGCTTCATAATTAATGAGTATAAGATATATTACATTGTGACATCATCTTCCAAATTCACAATTATTTCAGCCTATGGCAAAGCCAGCGACATTATTTTCATTTGCGCACATGTGTTTATGAGCCATATACACTTGCTATTATTATAACAACAATATTATTGTGTGATGGACTTGAATTCTTGTGGCAGGCACTGTTGAAGAAGGGAGTTAGTCAATGTGACGCTTAAAAGGCAGTTGAAGTAGTTTTTAAGGACAAGAATGAATGTTCTGGAGAAGAAAAATAATTATTAACATGTGGAAGCAATCCATGGATCAACTTTATCGCCAAATATTTGCAGGATCGTGGAGCTCAAATTGCTAGGTTCGTCAAGTCTCCTTCTACGAACAGAGCCCTTGAACTCAAACGAACTGTGAGTGACATAAAAAGCGAGGTTCATAACCAGCTAGAACACACATTTAAAACACAAAGGCGTATGAAGGGCATAACACATCGAATTAACAAGATGCAGGCTGAAGGGCTTAACAATGCGATAAACTCCAACACCATAGTTGTTGTCCTCATTGTAACAGTTGCTTTTGCTGCCATATTTACTGTCCCAGGTCAGTATCCTCAGAACACAAAGCAACTCGCTCCTGGAATGTCTGGGGAAGCCAATATCGCTCCCAATATCGAGTTCTTGATATTTGTAATCTTTGATTCTACTGCCCTTTTCATATCATTGGCTGTTGTGATTCTCCAAACATCAGTAGTTGTTATTGAAAGGGAAGCAAATAAACAAATGACAGTGATTATAAATAAGTTAATATTGATATTCAGTTCTTGATATTTGTAATCTTCGATTCTACTGCCCTTTTCATATCATTGGCTGTTGTGATTGTCCAAACATTAGTAGTTGTTATTGAAAGGGAAGGGAAGCAAAGAAACAAATGACAGCGATTATAAATAAGTTAACGTGGATAGCCTGTGTGTTAACTTCTGTGACATTTTTTCAATGTCATACATAGTTGTTGGGGATCATAAAGAATTTTCTATTGCAGCCATAACTCTTGGAACGATGATTATGGGCAGCTACTCTAGGAACACTTTGTTATTGGGTGATTTCTCACCGCCTCGAGGCCTCCAGATTATGAAGTCTTAGAACAATGACGAGCAGTACACATTCATTGACTATGTCCGGGTTCTCAGCTTCCTAAAATGAGTACAAAGCAGTGTACGCAATATAATGGACTCCGTCGTATCTCTACGTAAGATATTAGGGATAACAACAACTTTGCGATTAGTGAAATATCTGGTGTTTTTACAACAACAAATTTTATAAACTTAACATCAAATAAAGGGTAGAGAGATTGTAGTCATCCAATTTCATATCTAAACTATCAATTTATCAAATGATCTTTACTTGTGTTACAAGTTTCGCATATATACCTGTTGTTTCTCTGAGAATTACTACTCGCAGTCAAACACAAGAACATTTATTGAAATAGTATTTATAAAAGTCAATGTCACCGTTAGTTTTTATTATTATTACATTGTAACTTTATTTATACTTTTATATAATATACTAATTATTATTAAATATTTTATTTTGGTTTAAATTTAATTTTGAGTTCAACTGCGAGTAACACAGGCGGTACCCGTGCGAACACGGGTATCCCACTAGTTATTACTAAAATTATTGCACTCATAATGCGCAATTTATTTTTAACAATAAATAATTGTATTCTAATTATTATCACAAATAAACATTTACCACGTATGATTATAAAAAAATTATAATTAAAGCAATTTATATGTTAAGAATTATTATTTTTTTGAATCAATAATATATGGATTAATTCAAAGAACAGTTTGATATAAAGGTGATCTCACAGTATCCAACCAACCAAGAGCATAATTACATCATTAACTTTGCTATATACTCTCTATATCTTTTGCTATACCAGCCTCTATTATGTTGTTAACAATTATATTGCAAATGTCGTTCCTAAACTTCCAGCAGGAATAGACAGTCTCACCAACTGCTATTTTCATCAAGCCAGCCTTTAATCCCTTACCCCTGTAGAAATTGATGGACCAGGAGCTTTCAACCTTCCATTGCAAGGGATAATGATCAACAATAATCCACTTCAAGATTTTTGACAAGATTTGATTCATCACACTGCAGCCAAACATCAGGTGATGTATATTCTCAATATTATTGCAAAAACAACAACTTTTGTCAATATTGATCCCAAATTTTGCCAGTCTTTCTTTGGTGGCAAGTCTCTTATGGAAATCTAGCCACAAGCAAAATAGAGCCCTTGGTCTTGCAATATTTCCTGCAAACAACACATGTAGTCAACATTACTATCATAGTCCTGCAACTTCCTACAAAAAATTCCCATTTTGAACTTGTTAGAGATGAAGCTCTGGTCCAATTGGCTCTGCACCTCAGTAATAATTTGTCTTTTTTTCATGATGCCTTTGATTATCCAAGACGAACTCTCTCTAAAAGCCATAGTCACCAGATCTTGATCTTTTATAAATACACGTGCATCCACTTAACCCATAAACAGTCACTTTTCCTGCATAAATTCCATAAAAGCTTCATCATGGTGACTTTGTTACACTTCTAAATCCATAATGTTCAGGCCTTCCTTGGTCTTGGGTTTGCAGACCATCTTCTAAGCAACATGACTTTTCCTACTCTGAGAATTCCCACTTGTCCAGATGAATATTCTACAGGCTGCGTGGATTTTATGTATCACAGCCTTAGGAACGGGAAAGAATTAGAGCCAATATTTGGCTATGGCTAAGCCCCTTTCTTTCACCAGTTGGACTCTTCCCGCAAGACTCAAGAGCTTAGCTCTCCAGTGCTGAATTCTACACAGGATTTTGTCAATGAGAGGAAGATAATGGTTAATTGACAATTTTTTACTAGTTAAGGGGACATCTAGGTACCTGAACGAGAGCTTCCATTCATTGAGGACTATCATATTCAAGATGTTCTGCTTAGTAGTTTCACCTACTGCACCCATATACACATTACACTTGGCTGGATTAACTACAATACCTGTTGAGTTAGAGAACTTCTATAATGTCTGGACCATTAACTCCACAGATCCCTCATCACCTCTAGCCAGAAGCAGAATGTCATCAACAAATGTCAGGTGAGTGAGTTCCAGATTTTCACACTTAGATTGATGATTAAAGTTAGGATTCTTCTACATCTTATGAAGCAGTCTGCTCATGTACTCCATATGAATAACAAAAAGGAATGATGATATTGTTGAAATAAAACATTAAATGGGTTAGAAATAAATGATTAGTATTAACTATGGTAGTAAGAAAGACATTAGTTTTCTTTTGTAGTTATGTAGCAGTTATGTTGTTTAATTTACTGTTTTAGAATTGTAAAGGTTTTGTTTGAGTCTACAAAAGACCAAGTGTGTGTAATTTATTCACTAAGAGCAATATACAAGAAGTTAAAAGTATACAAAGTCTGATTAAAATTCTACAAATTGGCATCAGAGCTCATGGCGAACATGATGAACCAAATGCCGTTACCACGGCTAACGAAGTCAAACTATGAAAACTGGAGCATCCAAATGAAAGCTCTTCTTGGATCTCTAGATGCGTGGGAAGTGACCAATGATGGGTTTGAAGAACCAACAGAAATTGGAGGATATACAGCAGCCCAAACGAAGGCGTTGAAAGAGACGCGAGCGAAGGATAAAACAACACTATACATGTTGTTCAGGACTGTGGATGAATCAGGCTTTGAGAAGATTGCTAGTTCGACTACGTCGAAACAAGCGTGGGACACGTTAGAGAAGGTGTTCAAAGGAGCAGACAGAGTAAAGCAGGTTCGAATCCAAACGCTTTGTGGCGAATTGGAGAGGATAAAAATGAAAGATACAGAAAATGTATTAGATTACATCACTCGTGTGCAGAAAGTGGTGAATCAACTCACAAGAAATGGTGAGACAGTAGCTGATGCAAGAGTTGTTGAAAAGATATTAAGATCTTTAACAGACAAGTTTGAGAATCTGGTGTGTGCAATAGAAGAATCGAAGGACCTTTCGACGCTCTCAATCGAAGAGCTCACTGGTTCGCTCGAAGCACATGAACAAAGAAAGATGAAGAAGAAAGAAGAGGCAGACGAAGATGCAAACCAAACAAAAGAATCGAAAGATGAAAAAGTACTCTTCTCGAACAACTTTCGAGGAAGAGGACGTGGACGTGGAGGACGTGACAGTGGTCGAAGTGGTAGAGGCAGTAACTTCGAAAGAGGAAATTCGAGCCAACAAAACTGGCGTGGTAGAGGACATGGCCAAAGAGGTGGTCGTTCGAATTATTCAAATTTCGAATGCTACAAGTGTGGCAAGTATGGCCATTACGCGAAGGATTGCAATTCCTACAAATGTTACAATTGTGACAAAGTGGGACATCTTGCAAAAGATTGTCGAAATGAAAAGAAGACTGAAGAGACAACCAATCTGGCTTTGGAAGCTGAATCGAATGAAGGGTTTCTCCTGATGGCCCAAAACGAAATCAACACCAATGACAGTATTTGGTATCTTGACTCAGGAGCAAGTAATCACATGTGTGGTTACAAACACCTGTTTAAAGATATGAAGGGAGTTGAAGATGGCAGCGTGTCTTTTGGAGATGCATCGAAGGTAAAAGTTGAAGGAAAGGGCACAATCAGCTATTTGCAGAAGGATGGCTTGATTGGGTCAATAAAAGATGTCTACTATGTACCAGACCTTAAGACCAACATATTAAGTCTGGGACAACTCACTGAAAAGGGTGCTTCGATCCTGATGAAAGATCGAACACTACAGTTGAAGGACAAAACAGGATATCTAATTGCTGCTGTCGAAATGGAGAGAAATCGAATGTACAAACTTAACTTGAGGAACATTCGAGAGAAATGTCTGCAGATCGAAGTCCAAGACAAAGCGTCACTGTGGCACATGCGCTTTGGTCACCTACATCATGCTGGTATGAGAAGATTGGCGAAAAGAAACATGGTGCATGGACTGCCAGACATGGAGTTCGAAGGAAAATTCTGTGAAGAATGTGTGCTCAGCAAACAAACCAGAACCTCATTTCAGAAGAAGGCAGAGTATCAAGCCAAACAGATACTCGAATTGATACATACTGATATATGTGGGCCAATTACTCCAGAATCCTTCAGTGGAAAGAAGTATTTCATTTCCTTCATTGATGACTACTCAAGAAAAACCTGGGTCTATTTTCTGAAAGAAAAATCTGAAGCACTAGAAGTTTTCAAGAAATTCAAAGTAATGGTGGAAAAGGCAATAGAAAGAAACATCAAATCAATTCGATCAGACAGAGGAGGAGAGTATACTTTGATTGCCTTTGTGAAGTACTGTGAAGAACAGGGCATAAGAAGATTCCTTACCGCGCCATATTCACCTCAGCAAAATGGTGTGGCTGAAAGGAAGAATCGAACTATCTTTGATATGGTTCGATCAATGCTTAAAAGTAAGAGTATGCTGAAAGAGTTCTAGGCAGAAGCAGTATAATGTGTTGTTTACATTCAGAATAGGTGTCCACATTTGAAGCTGGAAGACAAAACACCACAAGAAGCATGGAGTGGACAGAAGCCAACAATCTCCCATCTCAAAGTGTTTGGTAGCATAGCTTATGCGCATGTACCAGACCAACAAAGAACAAAGCTCGAAGACAAAAGTCAGAAGTTCATATTCATTGGATATGATGAGAAGATGAAGGGGTACAAGCTTTTTAATCCCATAAGTAAGAAAGTGGTTGTAAGCAGAGACGTTCGAATGAATGAAGCCAGCAAGTGGGACTGGAACACTTTGACAGAGGTTGGTGACACAGTCGAAGAAATAACTATAGCTGTACCAACAAACACTCCAGAAGAACATGAAGAAACAGAAGATAGAGATGAACCTCTACAACCCAGAATGAGAAGTTTGCAAGATCTGTATGATTCAACAACTGAGGTGCATCTTGTGTGCCTTCTGGCAGATGCTGAAAACATAAGTGTTGAAGAAGCGTTAAGGGATGAGAAGTGGAAAAACGCCATGGACGAAGAAATTAAAGCAATCGAACACAACAAAACTTGGGAGCTAGTCGAATTACCAAAAGGAAGTCAACCCATTGGTGTAAAGTGGGTATTTAAGAAAAAAATGAACGCCCAAGGAGAGATCGAAAGATACAAGGCACGGCTGGTTGCAAAGGGATACAA